TGTAAACTGGAAAACTCTGCTGAAAATAGGTGAAACAATTGAGGAACAGCGGAGAGTGTTCAAAGAAACATTGAATGCTATTCAGAAGCGGTTTGTACTCCTGAGAAGGAAAAGCTGCACATCTCAAAAAATATCCAAGGATGTAAGGCACAGCATTATAATGAAAAGAAAGGGCTTATAAAGTGTAGAACAGTACAGATCCCACGGAATGGGACAAGTACAAAGATCGACAAGGGCCACACAGTAGCTTATAAGAGCAGCTAAAAAGTATTGTGAAAGAAAACTTGCAATGGACATATTCACAATAGTGTGAGATTTTATAGCTATATAAAAACAAAGTGGCTGTTTAGGAATACTGTTGGCTTACTAAAGGCCTATAGTGGGGATATTGACAATCCCCGTTGGGAAATGGCAGAGATGCTGAACAATTTTTTTTTTTTTTTTTTTAAATCATCATCTCTACAGTGTGGAAACAGGCCCTTCGGCCCAACAAGTCCACACTGATATTCGGAGCATCCCACCCAGACCCATCCCCCTATAACCTACCTAATTTACACATCCCTGAACATTATGGGCAATTTTTAGCATGGCCAATCCTCCTAGCCTGTACATCTTTGGACTGTGGGAGGAAACCGTAGCACCTGGAGGAAACCCACGCAGACATGGGAAGAATGTGCAGACTCCACACAGACAGTTGCCTGAGGGTGGAATTGAACCCTGATCCCTGGCGCTATGAGGCAGCAGTGCTAACCACTGAGCCACCGTGCCACTCCTAATTTTGTTTCAGTATTCGCACTAGAAAAGGAGGATAGCTTGCTGGGGATTCTAAAGAAATTAACAGGATCAGGGGCAGGGTCAAAATAAAATTAGCTTAAGTAAATCATCAATAATGGGGAAATTAATGGAACTGAAAGTTTCCATCCTTGGGTGTTAAAGGAGGTAGGACAGCCCGTTACCGATGCCGGAGCCATAATCTTTCAAAGTTCCCTGAACTCTGGAGTCAAACCTCTGGATTGGAAATTTGCTCATGTCAGTCCACCCTTTAAGAAGGGTTACAGAAGAAACCAGGGAACTACAGGTCAGTTAGCCTAACAACTGTGGTGGGGAAATTGTTGGAGTCTATAATCCAGGGTCGGGTAACTGGTTACCTCAACATGTTTCAGTTAATTAGGGAGAGTCAGCATGGATTCATGAAGGGTAGGTCATGCCTGACGAAGCTCAGTATTTTTTTTTTGAAGAGCTGATGGACCTGTGGACAGAGGCAAGACATTGGATTTTGTTTATATGGAGATCAAGTAGGCTTTTGATAAGTCACACTCAAGACACTTAGCTAAGGTGGAAGCCACAGAATTGAGGGCAAATGGCCTGGATAGGAAATTGGTTGAATGATAGCAGACAGAGACTTCGAATAATGGATAAGTACTTGAATTGGCGGGTTGTGACTGGAGGTGCCCTGCAGGGATCTGTGTTGGTCTTCACTTATTTATAGTATTCGTCAACAACTTTGATAATGGCATAGGGTCAAATATTCAAATTTGCTAATGACACAAAATTGGGCAGCGTAGTCGACAGCATTGACACCAGTGTAAAATTACAGCAGAATATGGATAGATTAGGTAAATAATCAAAGCTGTGGCAGATAGATTTTAATATAAGGAAGTGTGAGGTTATCCATTTCAGACCGAAAAAGGATAAATCAAGGTAATTTTCAGAATGCACAAAGTTAGATACAGTGGATGGCCAATGAGATTTGAAGATTCTGATGCATAGCTCTTAAAATGCCAGGAACAGGTGCAAAAAATAGTCGAGAAGGCTAATGGAATACTGGCTTTCATACCTAAAGGGCCTAGAGTATAGGGATGCAAGTATCATGCTGCAGTTATATAAAACTCTAGTTAGACCCCACTTTGAGTACTGTGCGCAGGTCTGGGTACTAAACCTGAGGAAGGATGTTTTGGCACCACAGGGAGTAGATAACTTTGGCTTTTGTTCTCATGAAGTTAGAAGGTTAACGGGTGCTTCAATTGAGGTCTTCACGATGTTAACAGGGAAAGCAAGGTAGACAATTCACTGGTTGAATAATCTAAAACCAGGGGGCATAGTCTAAGAATTAGGGTCAGGACATTCAGGAGAGATTTTAGAGAGCACTTCTACACTGGAAGAATAGTGGAGATTTGGAACTCCTCTTCAGACATCAATTGATGCTAATTCAACTGTTAAATTTAACTTTGAGGTAGACCAGTTTTTATTAAATGAGGGTATCAAGGGATGTGGGCCCAAGGCAGGCATATGGAGCTAGGCTGCAGATTAGCCATGATCTTAATGAATAACAGGTTAGGCTCGAGGAGCTGAATGGACCACTCCTTATCTGATGCTCCCAAAATGACTTCTTCAATAGATTTCTTGTCCTTCAAGTATAATCTTTTACTTCTCTATGTCAGTACTGAGACAACAGTCAAAAATGTAAATTAGTTTGTATTTAAGTTGTGACAAAAACATCATCTTTGACTTATGCAATATTACTGAAAATGTACTGAGAGTTCATTGTCAGGTGAATGTGGGAAAAGGATGGAGCAAGGGAGTAACAAGCACTTGAACTGGTGTAAGTTTAAAACACTCAACTAGTTGTTAAGATTGTGACTACAGCCTACTAAGGAAAGTTGTGACATTTGCAATTAATAAATTTGGTCATTTTTCATCTCTACAGGGGGAAATAAATAATATTGTTGCAGATTATTCCAATTGTCCAACTGGTTGGTTCATTTCTCTCAAAGGGAATCTGTCATTCCAGATTGGTCCAGTTACGTGACTGTTTGGCTTCTGAAGTGGTTGAGGAGTAACTGGGACTAGACAATGAGGTCTTATATGTTTCAACTGTTCCCTGGGAATCTTTTCCCTGAGAAAAAAAATTATTCCTACTTGTTCCCAATTTTCCTATTCTCCATTTTTTATGAGAGAGGAGACAGAAAGCTTTGCACAGTTTCCTAGGTTTAGTGCAGTCAAAAAGAATGGCCTTGAGAACTAATATGATTATTTTGCTAGGTTTTTGGTGCTATTAAATCTTTTGAAGAAAGCAAACGTGTGGTTTAGCTCCTACCTACGGCATTTTCTTTTCTGCACAGTGATAGCAACGTTGCTTCTATTGTCACTCATGTATCAGACTTAAAAGGGAAAACTGACTGCAAGTCAGGGTAGAGTAGGTGGTGAGAATTCTGTTGTAACTCAATTTTACCAGTTAAAATCAAAAGTCCCCCTGCTCTTACGCAGTTTCCTGCTGGTGCATGTTTGTGAGAACAGTTGATTCAGAAGTAAAATTTTGTATATAGGAAAGCAAAAATAGAATGGAAAACAATTCTGATCCAGAGGTTTTGTGTATTTTTATTCCTGTATCCATGTTCATGCCAGCTAATGGTGATGGTTTCTCTTAAAAATGCGCGGAGATATTGAGGGGTGTGTTAAAACCAAAGCAAAGTTCCACAAAGGAAAAGAGTTATCATTGATTTTATTCTTTTAAAAACACTTGGCTTAGAATGCATGGTTTTAAAACTAGTGTTGACAGATTATAAAGGATTTGAAGGAATTCCAGTCCTTCTGCAGAATCGTGCAGTTTCTGCATTTTTATGATGTGCCACAAAATTATAAAAATATCATTTTATTAAATCACATCAGTTGGCTTAGTTTCTGGAATTTAGTTCGATGCTTGATACATTTTCAAAGTGCTGACGTTTATTTGCATGTATGTTTGTGGTCATAAGTGACAATGGTGGGGATTTTCCTTTTTTTGTTTAGTTTTATGTGTGGGAGTGGGCATCTTTTAAGATCTAGTCAACGCACGCCTCCCCCCGCCCCGACAAACCACCACACCCACCACCCCGATTAGCGAGGAAGCTTGCTGAATCAAACACCAATCAGACACTTAAGTGGTGACCTAATGAGAATCTTGGTCAATCAGTTCCCAGGGTGGTGATATCCTGATTCACCTGAAGTTGCCTGCCGATCAGAGGCCAGCTGCCACTGTGAAGAGCAGTGGCAGTTTGGAAGCACAGCAGCACTGAGATTTCAGGAATAGCAGGGACGCAAGTGACCTTTTGTTTTGCGGAGGGGCTGGGGTCCACATGAAGAGAGGTTTTAAGGTGATTTGAGGTCAGGGCTTGGTTTTCAGTAGCCACCCTCTTGCTCTACCTCTGTGCCCCAGTTCTTCACATATTGAGGCTAATGGAATGCCTCATCCTCCAACCCAGAAGACTGCTGCTGTTCTCATCTGCCAGGGTTAATCTGGCTGGCGGCGGGATGAGGCATTATGTGGTCATTAATTGACCACCTAAGGACCTTTTAAATTTTGGCAGTTTGGAGAGGTCAACTATAAGCCTTTCTGCCCAGAACCCAATTTCTGGGGTATTGGGAAGATGGCACATACCTCCCTGTTGTCCTGCAGCCCGATTGTTTACTCTTCCAACCACCTTTCTTGCTACTTCTTCGGAAGGGAAAATTGTGACTAGTATTTCAGTTCAGGAGAAATTAGACTCATTTTAGTTTACAGACAGAAAAGTTACCCCAGCCAAATAAAATGTCTCCAAAATGACTGTTGTGCGGAAATATGTAGAATGTGCAAGCTATGGTTTTTACAGTTGCATCATATCCTGAATGTTTTCTGCAATGCCACATCCCTGACTTTGTCATTCAAAATCTGGCAACTTACTTTTGGAAAGTCTGGTGTTTTGGCTTAATCGTGCTTTTGGAGCTGATTGAACCTCTGAATTCCATAGGAATATTTTTAAGTGGGCAAATATTTGTGGTACTAGGTCCAAAAGCTAATATTTATTTTAAAATGCTGCCTTTTACAAAAATGTCTATTTTATAGATGCTTTCTTCAAGAGTAACGTAATCATGTAATTTATATATCCTGAAAGTGGCTCTTTTGTATCTGGACTGATTTGTGAGAAAATCTCTTAGGAGTAGATTACAGATGGCAACTTATCAGACAACTTTGTTCTTTCCAGCTTTCAGTAATTTCCTCATACAATGGCACAGTGGAATCAGCTACAGCAGTTGGATACCAGATATCTGGAACAACTGCACCAACTCTACAGTGACAGCTTCCCCATGGAATTGAGGCAGTTTCTTGCAGCTTGGATTGAGACCCAAGATTGGTATGTACAGCAATTATACATATTTTAAGTGCCACTCCAAGAGGACATCTTGTAGGTAAATGTGCAGGGAAGAAATTTTTTTGCAGTTTTTCTTTCTTCTGATTTTTGAAGAAAAGACCATTCTTATTTCAGTCATCTTTGCCTTGATTAGGAGGGTTTTGTTTTTTTTTCCTCCCTTAAAATTCCGGATATGTTTGTAACTATCTATGGTGTCGCATTTTGTAGTGAAGGTGCAGATGGGGTGACTGAAACACAGTTTCTGATTTTGAAATCATTCTTTAACCTTCCAGGGCATATGCTGCAAGCAAGGAATCACATGCTACACTAGTGTTCCATAATCTGTTGGGTGAGATTGATCAACAGTACAGCAGATTTCTACAGGAATCTAATGTCCTGTATCAGCACAATCTGCGGAAGATTAAACAGTACCTGCAGGTATATAGTTTGCCATTGATAGATTTATGTGAGTATCAGTGATTTAAAAGTGGAAAATAAAAGAAGTCATAGAAGTTGCGTGCTTCCACTGGAATTGGAATAGATTTGGTATTTTAATTTACAAGTGCAGGTTTTAAAAGTTCAGTGCTGTTGTCAATCCACGTTTTAAAATCAGTGATGCATTATAAAAGGTAGAACTCTAAAAGTTCAGGTTTGTACTTGTATTTAAAAGCTTTGAATATTTTCCTGAACATAGGAAAAAATACATTTGATTTCAGATTGGCTTTTACATTTCTTTTTTAAAAATAACTCTACAATTGTCCATGGCTTTCGCTTGCTTGGTTTATTGTCGGCCTGCAGCTGTTGCTCAATCGTGTATTTTGCTGTCTCACCCCTACCCCCGTCCCCCACTCCACATGCACGCACGTACGCGCACACACACAAACACGCACTCTCTCTCTCTCTCTCACCATTGGGGCATTTTTAACTTCTGTTGTTTGAACTAGGCATAAGAGAGGTTACATTTGCATAACCAGGGATTCCTGAGATGTGGGTACCTGTTTTGACTGTGCAGTTGCATTTGCATAGAACAGGTTCTCTTTTAATGCCATGAAAGGACAGAGACTGCCTCAGGAGGGGAAGTATTAGTAACAGATCCCAACTGCTGGGTATATGTTTTTTTCTTGTTGCTATCAATATCCCTTGGTGTCTCAGGTTTTCATGTAACTGAAGTTCACTTCTTCCAACTTAAAGGTTCTGAACTTTGCCAGAGATCCATCCTGACAGCAGGTCCAAAACTGATATAACAAAATTGAGTCCAGTTGGCTGCTGCTACTCACATGATTGTTTGAAGTTGTGCTCCATCAAAACAGACGTAAATGGCATTAAAGAAACAGAACTTTTTGTCTCTGATGTAATGAAAAATCATTTAATTATAAATGCCCCTGGAGGAATATTCCCAGTTTAATTATTTTTCCCTTTTTTTTATTTTAAAGAACAGGTATTTAGAGAGGCCAATGGAGATTGCACGTATCATAGCTCGATGCTTGTGGGAAGAAGCACGTCTTCTTCAAGTTGCGACGTCAGTGTCACAAGTGAGTGAAGTGCGACTGTAGTGTTTACCAATTGGACCAGCATCATAATACACACTTTATACACAACATTTATGCTCACTTCTTCTGATTGTAATTCTACCCCCTTTCTTTAGAAACATATTACAAATGGGATTGTTTTTGGATTAAAATGTGCAATAAAAGGTGAAAGTAAAATTCAAGCGTTGTTTGGCCCATCATCTCTGCATTGGCATGTGGCATTGTGTGCAATATACACACTTGTGTCCTGTTTTTGGGTCAGGGTTGCAGAGGAGATGAGCCTGACCATTAAAAATGGCCACCGAAACTCCCAATTTTCAGTCTGGGTGGACAAACTGGATTGTAAATTGGTTAAGGTGCTTCGAGAAGAACTGAGGAGGCTGCTGGTTCTCAGGAGCGCTTGGTGGATTGACTGCCTTCGTGCTCCTGCACTGCGTCCAAAATTTAAAATTAATTTTAAAGTGAAACATTCCTACTGCCTTCATGTATAAGTACAGGCCAGGGAGCGTAGAGTCTTTCTATGTGGGATTGGAGTATAGGATCAGAGTGTGGCCTTTCTTTGTGGGGTTAGAGAATGGAGCACAGCCTTTCTTCCAGGGTTAGGGTGGGAGGGTGAAACTGAAACTTTTTAAGCAAGTGAAATAAGTGCCTTGTTCCTGTCCTGATTGTATTTGCTGTTAACTTTAATGAGCAGTTCCAATCGAGCAAGAGATGAGCCTTTTTATTTTCATGTTCATCTACTGCTGAAATGCATGTCAGGCATTAAACATTCCCACTTGTCATAGCTTGCGTTTAATGTTTAAAATGTCTTTCCAGCAAGCCGGACAATCGCCACATCACAGCTCTGTGGTAACTGAAAAACAGCAGATCCTCGAACACAATCTGCAGGATGTACGGAAGAGAGTACAGGTGAGTCTATTTGAATAGTTGGAAAGAATCTTTTATTTTGCAGTAGTAAAAAGGAAATCATAACTCTATATTACCAAATAAACTGAAAATTGGAGTCAGAGTTATACAGCATGGAAACAGACCCTTTGGTCCAACCATCCCATGCCGAACATAATCTCAATCTAAACTCATATTTAAAAATTGCAGGGCCTAGAAAGATGAGTAATACTCAAACAAGAAGAAATAATTGTATAGATCAGACCTTGTTCAACATGAAATTTTTAAGCAGTTTATAATGTTTTGACACATTTACTCAGTTAATGCTATTAACGAAAATCCTTGTCAGTTGAAATTTTTGAAAGAATCCCGACAGTGTGGAAACAGGCCCTTCGGCCCGACGAGTCCAAACTGATCCTCAGAGCATCCCACCCAGACCCATCCTCCTATAATCCACCTGGACACTATGGGCAATTTAGCATGGCCAATCCACCTAGCCTGCATATCATCATCATAGAATCCCTACAGTGTGGAAACGGGCCATTTGGCCCAACAAGCCCCACCGCCCCTCCGAAGAGCATCCCACCCAGACCCGTTCCCCTACCCCTGCATTTCCCTTGTTTAACCCATCTAACCTAAATATCCCTGGGCGCTATGGGCAATTTAGCATAGCCAGTCCACCTACCCTGCACATCTTTGGACTGTGGGAGGAAACCAGAGCACCCGGAGGAAACCCAAGCAGACACGTGCAAGCTCCACCCAGACGGTCACCCGAGGGTGAAATAGAACCCAAGCCCCTGGTGCTGTGAGGCTGCAGTGCTAACCACTGAGCCACCATGCTGCCTTTTGTTTGATGGATTAAAGTTTGATGTTTGTAAAACCTAAGGATTTGAAACATATGCTTGGTGAATTAATGCAAAAGGGAAGAAGACTGTTTATGGATTATTTGAGAATAATTCTGTGTATATTAGAATTAGAGTTAGAAAACATGTACTCAAGTACAGGGATACAGGAGTGCAGTGAAAAGTGTATAATGTCGCCATTCCTGGCACCATATTAGGTACAAAGGTACCAAGGTACAAAATCTTAGGTACAAAGTAGAAAAATAAAGAAACAAAGTTAAAAGTTAAACATTGCAGCCCTTCTTAGTATTAAGTAGAAAAATAAAGAATGAAAAAAATCAAAACAGCTTTGCTCTACGCAAATCCACAGTTAATGTTAAGAACATAGGAACAGAAATAGATTGTTTAGCCCCTCCAATCTACTGTTATTGATGCTCCACTGTTTACTACTGAAGTTGAGGCTTGCAACCTTTAAATTGATTGATTTTTAATTTAAAGAACAAATGCTCATTTAGTGTTAATTTCCTCTGTAAAATGCAAAACAACATGAAACACGTTCCAGCTTTCCTTTGAACAATAATCTTCAATTTGATGTAGTATGAGTGTAAATTTAATTTGAACTGTCCAGAGACCGTACGGTTTAAAATGACAAAAAAAAATTATCTACAATGATTCAATTTCTTTTGACTTTCATGTTGCGCTTGTCCCACCTACTCCAGGCTTAAAATCCTATTACATCTGACTTTTCTCCTTTTTTGAAGATAGGTTACAGACCTGAAACAGTAGGTAGAATCTTCCCCTCTGAACAAATTGGGCAATGGACAGAAAGTTGGTGGGTGGTTGCACAAGAAGCCTGTTGTTTTAAATTTAGCATTTTTCTCGAGTTTTGACAGCTAGGCGAGGGGCCTATTTGCATGCGTTAATATTTCATTATCACCTGTCTGCACCCTTCATTTGCCGATGATGCTTTACAGAAGTCAGCAATGTCATTGTAGCACATCTCGAACTTACTCTGATACTGTTCAGCACTTTGCTACTGCACTTTAGAGCTCACTGATGCCTTACATTGGAGCACTTCTGCTGGTCTGCAGGAATAGGTACCTGTTTTATGCATTGGAGCCGGGTGCATGTCAGGACTTTTAGCTTGCTTTCTCTCTGCTCACACATCTTTGCACTAACAGCATGACAGCATCTTTTAGTGCAGACAGAAAGCCATGTAACTCATTAACGCAGAAAATAGAGGGGCAGACACAGTATATGGCACCATATTACATCAATGTCACGCCTACAGTGCATGGAAGCTGCTCACATGGCAAACATATTGCATGTGCTTCAACCTAGTGGCTGCATCTAAAAGTCTGAGTTACCCTTAGTCCCTTCGAGGGAGCTGGCTGGTCCTCAGTCAAGAAAACTGGTGAGGTGTTCTGAGTGAGAGAGAACTGTGGAGTGCAGGAAATTTTAGTACTTCAGGGAAATGAGAATAGTAAGAGCCATTGAGGGAAAAAAGGTGCATGCAGAAGTGAGAGTGGTAAACCATGAGCCTTAGGATGTGAATGCAATGGCAGAGTGAGGCATTAGGGAGAGGACGTGTGATCCCTGTGCACACAGTGCACAGAATGTTAGTAAACCTTTTTCCATTTTGCTGCGTGTACCTTTGGACCATGAACACTACACTGATTGACTGGCTACTTCAGACTACGCTGCCAGTCTGGTGTCATGGTCTTTTGTGGCAGTCCTGGGGAAGGAGAACAGCCCTCCTCTCCTATATACTGTTACCAGGACTACCAGGTCCGTGCCTGTGAAGACGTTTGTCATTTGCCTGTTTGGACTATGTCATTTGGAATTGCACAGCAGGACACGAAGGGCAGTTCCTGGATTGGGGGGCTTGAAATGGTGTGCAGCTAGGGTTTAGAAATGATGGCCATAGCGTGCATGTTGTAAGGTCTCGACACTGGCAAGCACCTCCAACTCTGCAGAGTGCAAGATTGCATGAGTATGGTGCTGTGGATATGGAATGCAGAATTACTAAGTGGAACAGCATTGAATTGCTTCAGGAAAATCATCAGGGCTCACAGAGGGACACCGTCTATGAAATGTCTCAAAATTTGACACTGTGGAAAAGTCCATCCCACTAACTTTTTGTTTCTTTCTACAGATGCAGCTACTACCTACTGAGTACTGACAGCATTTTACAATTTTATTTCAGACTTTTGGCATCCTCAGTATTCTGCTTTTTGAGTTAAAATTATGTTTTTATTAAAATGAGATTTGTAACTAAGGGCCTAAGTGTATTTGTTTTACAGGATCTTGAACACAAAATTAAGATACTGGAAAACCTTCAGGATGATTTTGATTTCAACTACAAGACCCTGAAAAGCCAAGGAGGTGGGTTACTCTGATAATTGGTTTAAAGGATCCAGTATTATATAAACTAGACATGGGTTTTCTTCAGGAGTTTAATTATTTGAAATTACATTGGATCCTCACAACTCTTGAAAACATCTTGCTGTTCTAAATGTTTACAGATGTGCAAGATTTGAATGGGAATTCACAAGCAGCAACAAGGCAGAAGATGGCTCAACTGGAACAGATGTTGACCGCTTTGGATCAGATGCGGAGGGTACAGTTAAAAACATTATGGTTAATCTTCAGGGATCTTTCTCTTTAGCTGATCATAGCTCAAACTTACAAATATTTCAAAGTAACATTTATTCTTGTTATTAAATCTTCCTCTACAACAGCAAATAGTAACTGACCTAGCTGCCCTACTGTCTACGATGGAGTTTGTGCAGAAGACCTTGACCGATGAAGAACTAGCTGACTGGAAAAGGCGGCAACAAGTAGCATGCATAGGAGGTCCACCAAACATCTGCCTTGACCGTCTTGAAAACTGGTATGAAATATATTTGATAGCAGAATCTTCTCGTTTTTAGTATTGCCACTTCTGTGCATACATGTATATATTTGAAATGTTTTATCGAACTCTCATTACAGATCAAGTTTTCACTTTGCACAATGTATATTTTATTTTGCCCGTTATCAGGATTACATCTTTAGCTGAGTCTCAGCTCCAAACACGTCAGCAGATTAAGAAACTGGAAGAACTTCAGCAAAAGGTTTCTTACAAAGGTGATCCTATTGTTCACCACAGACCTGTTTTGGAGGAGAGAATTGTTGAATTATTTCGGAGCTTAATTAAAAGGTATTTCAATCTAGTGGATGTTAAGTCCTTTCTGATCTTCTGCAGCTCTTTGTCTTCTATTAAAGTGCTGCTCTATTCTAAGCCTGTGAAATGCATAATTTATTATAGTCAGTTTAATATGTGAAGTAAGCAGGGAGAGAATTGACCTGAGCTGATTACCAATCCCCAAAGTCCTAACTGCATCCTTAACATCACATTTGTTTTGTATCATGGCCGTGTATTCACCAGCAGTTGAGTTGAGAAAGCCAAAATGCATTGCTTTAAATTTGTCAGAAAAATGACCTTAACCCCTCTTTATCTTGATGGGTATAAACCTAGATCATGTTGATCCATTAGACAAGTAAGTTTTTCCCACTTCTTGGCTGATATTCACTGCTGATAACAATCTCTGAAAATTTATTTGGGAATGGGGAATAATGATTAACTACTACACAAGCCAAGCTGGAATTCTGCTTCTATATAATACATTAACACAATTTGACTAGACTTCAGTCAGACACATTTAATTGGTGCTCGGTCAACTAGTCATGTAGAGTTTTTGATTTATTTAACCTGTTTTTCTTCACAGTGCTTTTGTCGTGGAGAGACAGCCGTGTATGCCAATGCATCCAGACCGTCCTTTAGTGATCAAAACAGGTGTGCAGTTTACAACAAAAGTGAGGTAGGTAGGGAAATACTTATTGAGAAATTGTCATAATCATGCTCAATCACAAAAACTTAGAATTCTGCTGTCAGTTACTCATCTGGATGTTGGATATCAGAACTGATATGGGAAAAAACAAATACTAAACAGTTATAATTACTATTATTTAAAGTAATCATTGCTATGAATTAAAATATTTAAGTGGCTTTATGTGTTTACTTTCAATACTAAATTAAATTTTAATCAGTGAATACCTAGGGATTCCACTTGGTCCTGTGCCTTGCACTTGAATGACTCAATCTCATGTTTGAAAATAGAGAGTTTAATCACTATTAAAGGACAATAGGACATTATCTAAATTAATACTTCATTGCAATACTGAGTGAGTGCTGCATTGTTGTAAGTGAAATGCTGATTCACATGAGGCTGGTATTATCTGGATTTAGTGTGAACCCAAATAATTAAAATCCTGTCTTAGTGCAAGATCCTGTCGTGAAAAATTACCTTCCTATGAGTCTAAAACAGCTTTGTATTGGAACGGAAGTTGTCAAATGACTCTTTCATGTTTATCTTGCAAATAAAAAATTAGTAAACCTTTCTCAATTCAGCCCTGCTGTGAGGTAATTTCCCTGCCATGCAGAAACTGCCAAAGCAATAAATGGTTGCCTGGTGTTTAACAATGTGCCCTTATGTTATTTACCTAAAAGGTTTCTGTGCATCTGTTGTTCAGTTTCTGAAGCTTGCTTGTGTACATAGTCACCATTATCTTTTAACTTCATTATGCTTCATTCTGTTGTAATTCG